CCTCTCGCCCCACCCCACCCAGGCGCCCCCTTTCCCTTCCCAGAGGTCACCCTGACCCCTTGCACCTTCCCCACCACCCAAGATCAGCACCCCAGCTCCTCCCTCCTCGGAGGTCCCATCTGCTCTGGACCCTCCACATTTTCCTGCAACCCTGGCCTCCACTTTCGCTCCCCAGGGAGCCCAGCCTGACAAAAGCCGTGTGGGGACCAGTGTTGGGCCCAGGCTTCTATTCCACCCGGGCCTCTCGGCCGTGCCCAAGGGGGGCAGGGTGCACAGTGACACCCGTCCCAGCGCCTCTCTCCTGAACTGCCCCTGGCTCTCCGCTCAGTGCTGGCGAGAACGGACTCCGGCCTCCCTCCAAGACGGGTGCAGGTCCAGGTCCCTGCGGCCTGACCTCCCTTTTCCTCGCACAGCCCTGTCCAATCCCCCAGCAACCCCTGAGGCTCAGCCTTAACCACAGACCCCGGCTCCAGTCTCCCTCCCGCCCTCCTGGAGACCCCACGCCCCTCCCGGCTTCAGCTTTCTCCCCTCTGCTCTCCAGGCCCAGGCCTCGTTACTGCCCCAGGGCCTTGGCACTGGCTAGGCTCGCTCCTTGGCTCCTTTAAGCCTTTGCTCAGTGTCGTCTCCTTAGGGACGCCTTCCTCACTGCAAACCTGCCAAACCTAACCCGCCGCCTGGCCCCGGCACTCCCTGTCCCCCGGCCCCCATTGCCTTCTCCGCGCACAGTCTGCCTGGCACTGTTTCCTGTGGTGGCACCCCCGTCCCACAGTGGCCGAGGGGCAGCCCGTCAGTCCGTGCTGTGCTCGGCTGTATCCGGTTCTGAGAACAGGGCGCATATAGTAGTTGCTCAGCACAAAACATTGAACAACTACGCACCCTCCCCCGGGAGCTGCTCTGCGGTGCCCAGGTCTTCTAAGGGTGTTAGCTGTTCACTCATCACTCCCCACACCAACCCTCTGAGGGAGGGGTGGGACCCGTTTTATGGTGAGGACATCAGGGTGCCTGCCCAGGCCACCCCTCTGCTGAGGACAGGAGGTGGGCTTGGGCCAGGCCATTGGTGGAAGGGAGCTGGACCTGGAGGGGGTGGGTGCTGGGCTGGTGATTGCCCTGGAGCCCCTGCCAGTGCCCGAATGGTGACAAAGGCCATACCCATTCCCACCCGGATCTCCAGGCCCAGGTGGGGAACTTTTGATAGCGCCCGGGGGCTCGTGTCATGGCCCCACCCAGACCAGACAGGAAAGGACCTCTGGGGCTCTGGCACCTCCAAAGCCCCCTGGGTGCTGTTGCTGGGTAGGGGTGAGCGCCTGTGGGGCAGCTCCCCAGGGTGTTTTGAACAAATAAACAAGGGTGCAGGGGGATGAAGGGCTGGTGGGTCAGGCAGTTCCAGCCCAGGGCAGGCGGCAGAGGAGGAGTGAGATAGGCCCTGTGCCACCCTCACCTCCTGGTGGGGAGACAGAGGTCATCTAAGACCTTGGAACAGGCCGTGGACTGTGGGCAAGCGGCCGAGGGCTGACCACCTGGGCCCAGGGATAGAGGGAAGGGGCTGCAGGTGCCAGGCAGGTGTCCGGAGGGCCTGCCCCGAGTGAGCTCGAGCAGAGGACCGAGTGCAGCTAGGAAGTGAGCTGAGCAGGTGTGTGGGGAGGAAGGGGGTGCGGGATCAATAGGGCAAAAGTCCCAAGTGGGGTGGGAGGGACAGACAGCTGAGCCTGGAGGGGTGGCTCCCCTCAGCCCCTCCCCAGGGCCGGCCGTGCAGCCGAGCTCAGGACGAGCTGATGGGGTGTCACTCAGCTCCAGTGTGGCAAGGGCCCCCCAGGGCGAGGGGCCTGGGCCGCATCGGGTTCCCACCCCCGACCCCGGCTGTTGCCCATGGATGACAGGGACGGTAACAGCAGGCTGGTGGCCTGGCGGCCAGGCTGCCTGGGAGGAGGTGCTTACCGGCAGGACAGAGAACTGCATGAAGAGGCAGGTGAGGTCCAGGGTGGTCAGCAGGTAGGTGAGCCGGATGACCCAGGGCCGGCCCAGGGCACCCATCCCAGCAGGGGACTGGCCCTGGCCCCAGGGGTCCCTGGCTCCCTGCATCCTGGGCAGGCGCTGCAGGAGACCTTGCAGGGATCTGAGCAGGAGGCTGGCAGACCTGGCACAGGGCAAAGTCCTGTTGTTCTGGGTGAGGGTGTGGAGTCACTGGGCAGGAGGCGTTGGCACCTGGCCTGGCAGAGCTGCCCTGCAGGGAGAATACGTTGCTGTGGGACCCCCAGCCAGACTCTCCAGCCACCTTCTGTGGGACCTTGGGGAGAACCTGGTAGGTGGCTCTCCCCCTCCACAACCGACAACTCCTGGTGTCTGGGCACACAGCCCCCATAGAACTGGGGACCCCCCACAGCACGGGACAGGCTCAGTGCCCACATGCCTTACACAGGAAGGCACCAGCACTCCGTTTTGAGAGGCAGACAAGGCCTGGCGTGGTTGCTCACTGCAGCTCAGGTGGGTGCCTCCCATCTGGGGTTGACTTCAGTCCCTGTGCCGGTGGGGGTCTCCTTAGGCCCACAATGCACCCCTACCATACGGAGCAGCTTCTAGAAGGACTGCTCTCCTGGCTCCTCAGGAGAAGCTCCTGAAGAAGCTTCTAGAGTGGCCTGGGGGTGGGATAGGGTGGGGGACACAGCTCATCTCCCAGGCCCCAGGCAGGGCCCTGTCCACTCCCTGCGCCCTAATCAGCTGGAACCAGCCTTTGTGGCTTCACGGAGGCCTCTGAAACATCTTGCCAAATTACCAGGACACTGTATGGTTGGACCCCAGGGTGGCCTTCAGAGTCCCGGTCCAAGAGGTGGGGTGGGAGGTGAGTGGTGACAGCAAGGAGGGGACCCTGGGCTTCTCCCAACTGCCCTCTATCTCAGGGTGCAGGGAGGTTGAAGGGCGGGGGAGAGGCTGATAGGGGCAGGTCAGGGGCATCTGGCTGGGCAGGGGCTGCCCTCATCCCAGTGACCGGGGTACCTGTCTTGGCAGGGTTCAGCCTGGGCACTGGTGCGGCGCAGTGAGTCCTCCTGGGTGAATTCAAACCCGGCCCATTGGAGCTGGGCTGGTGGTCCCACCCTCTCCGGTTGACCTGAGACTCCGGCCCTCCCAGGGAGACCAGGGACACCCACCCTCTCAGGGACACCCCAGTCCCTGTCCTTGCCTGCGTGCAGCCTCCTTGCTCTCATTGGCCTGAGCCCGACACTCCCCCGGCGGGCCCCACCCCACAGCCCGGGCATTCCCCTCGGCTGCCTCCCCCCTGGGCTTGACTTTGCCCAGGCTCTCCCGGCTCCCATATCTCCCAGTTCCCATGGGAGGCAGGAAATCTGACCCCCTCCAGCAGCACGGGGTGTCCAGTGCGGGCCTGGAGTAGGGAAAGGGAGAGGGAGGGGGGTGGAGGGAAGGGGAAGGGAGGGGCCAGAGACCCAGAGGAAACGAGCATTTCTGGGAACCTCTCCCCACACCAGGGAGCTTGTGGAAGGAACAGGGATATCAGTTTCCCCAAGTCACAATGCGGTGATCCCGCTCCCGCTCCCTCCGTTGGGGCCACCAGAGCCACTTGCTATGAAGATACAGGTGGCTTCGAGAGGTCCCTCTGCAGGGC